AGTTGAAGTTGAAGTTAATATATGTTTAGCACTCAATTAATTTTATTATATCATATAAAAATTTAATTTTATCAAAGTGTCTTTGGCCTAGCGGTATCTAAGTCTCTTGTTTCCTAGGAGGTCAGAAACCTCACCAATAATGAGAAATGTGTGTAAGTTTATTTGTTACAATCGTCGTATATAAAAAAGTTAATTATGCCCGATATTAACAAATTATTTATGCAATTTAAGGGCGACACAGTAATTTTAATCATCTAACTTTTGACCATTTATGTATCTTTTCTTCTTCTCTACCTTATAATGCTTATCCAATTCGCAAGTCTCAATCCACGATAGCAATTCAAAACAAAGTTAATTACGCATATTCTTAAAGGTAAAATTGGTCAAAACAGTCATTCCTCTTATATAAATTGGTTTTTTAGTCATTCATCTTTTTGATTTACCTAAATACAACTACTTTTGTAAGTCTCACGTCCGCCACTTGCAGATCTAGCTAAAAGACAAAAAAAAATCAAATTGTAGACCTCGCCATCACAATTGTGGACCTGAGTCAAATCGGATTAATTTTTTTTTTCTTTTAGCTGGGTCTGCAAGTGGCTAACGTGGGACTTGCACACGTAATGATATTTGGGTAAATCATACAGATGAATGGTAGGAAACCAATGTATATGCGAGAAATGGTTAATTTGGCCAATCTCCCTTTTAAAGGGCAATGCTATTTGCATCCCTTCAATGTCTGAATCATGTCAAGTCATACATTGAGAATGTAAAAAATAAGTTTTGATATTGATGTTTGTGATGAGGAAATTATTTAGTAGGAGTGCATTTAGCCACCTCTTTTTAAATTCCAAAAAAATTTGAAACATTATATATAACTACATAGGTCAAAAATAATATTCAAAAAAAGAATGATAATGCTTTCTAATTGCGGCTAGATGGAAACTCGATTAAGTCTACATTTTGGTTTTTAAGAAATTATTTTACATTATCAGCTTAAAGTCACGTATTTATCTTTTCTTGTTTGCGAGAAACTAAACATAAATGACATACGAGCATTCAGTGTCTAATAAACCTTGTTAAATACAGAGAAACGTTTAGAGAATCAAGATCACATGCATTAATACATGAAATAGTTGATCTCAAATTAGTCCGAAATGCTAGTCACATTAACCACATGATCAATTTAAAGACATAAAACATACTTTATGACTAAGTGGTTGTTTGCCAAACTTTTATCGGATAAGTGCTTATCGGCAAGAAACATCCCTTTCAGTTACCTTATTGTACTAGAAGGGTACTCGCACAATGCAGCGAGATGGGTCTTGATTTTTGATGTTTCGTTTTTTTTTGTCTAAGTTTATATTATAATACAGTTTTATGTGATTTTGAGAAAACGATAATGTTAACATATATCATAAAAAATATTGATATTATTATCAAACTAACTATTTAAAATTTCTCATTTTTTTTGTATTTTTTTAAATCATTTTTTTTACTTTTGGTTTAATAATATAATTTTTGTAAAGATAATAATTAAGTATTTTGTTAAAACTCAATGATTATCTTAATTGTATTTTAGATTTTTTATATTTAAAATGAGATGATTATCATCTATTTGATTATTTTTATCTGTAGTTAGTTACATGAATTCAAATATGAGGCTTTAATAAGTTGTACCTACGCACAATTTACTTGCAATCTTGAATTTTAAGTAATATACATAAATAAACAGTACTTTATGCATAAAAATGATTTTTAAAAGTTTTTGTCAGATGCTTTATAATATAGTATAGATAACATTCTCGGCCATCAAAATTGATTGTTGGTAAGCGCCTTAAACCCAGTAAACGCTTTTCAGGTAAGAGTCATTTCCCGCACTTACTGGATAAGACTCTCATTCCTTGTTATGTCTCTTATCGGGTAAGATTCTCAGTTATTTCCATGCTCAATTTGTACCCTTGTTTGTAACTTTACTAAATGATTTGTTTTTAATGTTATTATCTGTTTTCTTTAAATAAAATCAAAATTGATGGTAAAATATGTTGGTTAAGTTTTATAAATGCATAATTATCTCAACTGTTCATCTATTATATCTTATACAGATTTTCTTGTACTAGAAAGATCAAAAAGTTTAAAGAGTTACTTGATCATACCTGATAACGTCGTTATTTGTGTATATTATAATTGATAAAAAGAAGCGTAATTACACTTTGGTTATTGAATGTGATTAAGTTTATTTGATTTTTAAATATGTTCAGATAAACAAAGGTTGGCATGAAAATGTGGCAAAAATGTGGGTTGCAAGGTTAATCGGAAAATTCCAAAGTTGGAAAGAAACAAAACCAACGATATTTTTCCAGGTTTACGATGGTTTAAAATTAGTAGAAATCCTTGTCTTGTTATTTGGTGGAAGCTTACAGTTAAGAAAATGGATATCATGTTATTCAGAGAAATCTCAGTCTTGTTATTCAAGGTTGTTTCGTTGTTTTTTCATTAAGTTCTATATGAATTAAGTTGTCTATATATACATATATATTAAGTTGTATGTATAAATTGATATTTGTTTATTATGCTGAATAAGCCGTCTGAATGATGTAAACAACATGTTTACCCTTATTCTTTAGTGTTTTTTGTTTTTTTTTTTTCACTTGGCTCATGCTTTTGTTTGAACAATTTGGTTTACATTAATTCAATCAAAATCAATACTATTTTTGCTTGAACCAAAATTTTCAATCAAAATCCCAAAACTTAACATCAAACTCGTAGCAAATTCATGGTCCATAAACACAGAATGAAACTAAAAACAAAACGGATTCAAATTACTACACCAATTTTCATTCCATTTTCTAGTAATTAAATGTTGAAATTCAAATGGATACGAAACCTACAAAATCAAACAATTTCTGACCATTTAATCGTTCTGTACTAAACCATTCAGCAATTGTCAAATAACCCCTAAAAATTATTGTCAAACATAAAAAAATCGTAAATTAGGATTCTTTTAACACCAAACAATAAATTGGAGGTACCAAAGGGCATTTGGTCTAGCGGTATCTTAGCCTTTGACCTTCTAGGAGATCAAGGGTTCAAATCTCACCATAGGTGAGGAAAATATATAAATTTATTTGTTTCATTTACCGTATATAAATATTATATACCAAAAAAACACAATAAATTGGAGGTGGTGAATTTCGTAGGGAGAGTGATAGTTTTGATGAATAATAATAGCATCTGAAAAGGTTTGATGGCACCATAGAGACCCACCAAACCATATATGCTGTTTGACTTATCCAAACTTGAAAGAAAATGACACGAAATGATAACCTTTTGATGTTACAGATAAAATGATAAATTTATTTCTAATATATTGTTTATATATTTTGATTAGTTATGTAATTTATTAAATTATAATAGAATAATTATTTTTTATAATAAAACATAATTAGAAAATTTTCGTTAAAATGATACTAAAATAAAAAGTTTATCTAGTTTCCAATTTTTATTTCATATCTTTTCTATATTATTTTTTTAATTATTAATATTTAATAAGTTAATCAAATATAGAAACCATGTAAAAATAATATTTTGAACACAGTAAAAGAAAGTTTAAACAACATAAAATACAATAACTAAAATTTAAAAACTATATAAAATGTAAAGATGAAGGCGTTATTTAATATTTTAGAAAAAAAATAAGTATCATTTTGAGGTTATAATTGGTAAAACATAAATCTGTTTCACCTTATTCCATAGGACAGAGTGGAACACTCCTATTCTATATAAAATTTTTGTCAAACATGAAATAGTGATCACTATTATGTCATGTCATGTGTAGTGCTGCTTCCATTATCATTGAAAAAAATCCTTGGGAAAGGTATTGTTGGAAGAGGCCGCCATGGATCGAAGGAGATAGCATCAAAGAGTGATTTTTCATCCGTGAGGTGAGAGAAAAGTAACCGGTAAAGCAAGGGGAATTTAGGGAAGAGATGGCGGAGTAGATAAAGTTTGGCCATGGTAGCTTAGGGGATGTTCGGTTCGTTTTCTGTTAAGACCTGTATGGATATAGTTGTCGATATTGATATAATTGTCTGTATATTAACAGATAAGTTGTTGTTCGATTGTTGTGCTGAATAAACAGTCTGAATGATAAAAACGACTATTTTACCCTTGGCTTTACATAGAACATTATAGACCACATTTCTCAAAACAACAATATTAATAGTTCAAATCATAAAACTGTAAAGAAATAGCTAAATGAAACCCCAAATTAGAAAACATACCCAAATAATTTAAACGGAAAGCATTGTATAGATACAAAGAACTGGGGGCTCTTAGCATAATAGAATACAAACATGAAGGAAATAGGATCCAAACCCTAAAACGAGAGATGCAACTCAAAGGAGGAAATGGAGATGGGTCGTCGGTGTGTGAGGCAGACGGCAGGGACGGCCGGTGATGGTGAGGGCGATGACCGGCGATTATACCTCCAAATCCATCAATGGCGGAAGGCAACATTCAGCTACAGCGAGGGAGAAGACCTGGAAGGAGACCAGGGGGGAAACACCCCAACGCACCATGGGGATAACGAAGGTTGTAGCGTCGAAAGTAGGTGCAGGAGCAGGGCATCTGCGACGGAGAAGGAGATGGCTGAGAAGACCATCATCATCACCACCATTATTGCGAAGTTTGGGTAGCTAGGTCCTCCTGTTTGAAGGAGCTGGAACTTGACCTAGAAAGGTGGAAAGGAAGACGATGGGCATTTTGGGGGGTTTAGAAATGTAAAAGGGCAGATTTGGAATAAATGGCTGAATCCATAGGACTTCATTTTTCTGGCTGACCGGTTAAGCCAACGGGTGACCGAATAGGCCATAAATGAACAACAATATATGGCTGACCGAATAAGCCATACTGGCTTAACAGTCCATTAAGCCATTACCCAACAGCCCCTTAGTGAATAAGTCATGGGATTTACCATTAAGCTCCAAACAAACATTTATGAATGGCTAACCAAACAAGTCATACATGTCATTAGGCCCATTAAGTAAAACACAAACAGCCCCTAAGGAATGAAGTTCTGTTTCTTGCTATTTAGCAATTGATTATTAAGTTAATAGTACCAAAGTGCGAATGGATCGATTAAACATGGACCACATCAGGACATGTTTACCTTTTTATTACTACCTCAACAACGATGGTTGAAGGTGAAACCTGGAGTTAAATTAGATGGAAATGCTATATGGAACACCCTTTCCAGTCATCCCAGGTTCAGAAAATGGCTTCAGAAGCTCATACGGGATCAACCCTGCTCCATTTCTATTGCTCAATTTCGAATCATTGTTCCTCGAGTCTATGATACCCTCCAGCTCCTTCAACCTTCCATTCAACTCATGGAACGCGACCTTTATAACCGGCTCTGCCTCCCATGCAGCCTCCATGTTGACACCGATATACTCCTCGTCTGGAGAATGACTTGACAAAACGTCCAAAATGGAAATTACTTTGGTAGCTTGAACCTGCGAAGGGAAGCAATTCAATAGCACATCCTCGGGATTCTTTAGGAATGCTTGCCACTCTTCAGTTGTAGGATCTTCATTGGGCATCTTAGTTCTAGCGATGGTGGGTCTGTTGGGGAAATAACCAGCATAATCATACTGACCGAAGTTGACCGCAGAATGGTGGCCGGAAGCCACCCACATGATTGTTGAGACAATTCCAATCAGGTCCTGTTGGGTTTTGAGTTGAGGCCACCATGGTTCGTCCTTCTTGTCGCCATGCCCGACTGTTCGGATTTCAGTCCACCAAGATTGAAGCTCTTCATCGGACTCGACAAGGTCTGTTTGTGGGTAGTAGTGGTTGACATAGGTGGTAACCCATTGTTTGATGGCATCCCAGAGAAGTAGACCATCATTGGCAAATGGGTAATCTTCAATTCTTAGTTTTATACCATGTGGTGCACTAGGATCTTCAACAGCCATTCCCCTATTGATTATGAAAAATAAAAATCTATCATCACACCTAATATATCGAAAGCATATGCGTAATTGATGTCCTGGGTGAGAAGAAACCATTTGTTTAATATACAAGACTTCAAGAGGACTCAAGTCTATTGGAAAAACCACCTGCTAATTAGATCAACTGGAAGTGCCTCTTGATCAAACCGCCATTTTTGAGCATAAGCATCCGAGGAAAGTTGCATGGAATATTTTCCAAGAGAGAAAGTTGACTCAATAATACCACCGGCATTAATGAGCGCTTGACGAGCTAGGCCATTAATCTGCATCGTGTATCGGAGATGAGGATATAGTAGTCTTTGCATAGGGTGCATTTTGCTCAGGTGACGATTGGTAGCAATTATGTAAGGCTCTGTAACACAATGAGTTCTTAGGCTGCAAAGTTGATAAATACCTTAGTCAAATGGCCAGTCATGAGTTAACTTGTGGTTTGAAGGGGATGGATTGTATATTTCCTGATCAGTCAAGTAGGCATGCACTTACACACGAATAGATATTAGTGAATACAACATTCGGGTGCGAAAAAGAAGGTACCCACCAGTGGCTGACAAGCTGATGATGACAAGAATCATGAGCAAGAACATGAACCTTGGCTAGCTTCCAAAGCCAAGAACCCGTAGCATCCCAACACGGTGTATACACATGTTTCCACTGTGGTTTTCTGTTGTTTGGTGGGAGAGTTAATTCAATGGCTAGTGGTCTCAATGTTCCAGTAGATGTGAGGAACATTAACGTCCTTGAACCATAAAGAGTTGTCGCTTCAAGCTCTCTTACTTTATTCACATAGGGTAAGAGCAGATCATGGTAATCCAATAAAAATAGCTTCTTTTCTTCCAATGCCTGTGTTGATACTCGCATTATTAAGTAATTAGTTTCAAGCACAATAGAGATGAAAAAAGTATGTGTTTTGGTTTTGCATTACCTCCTCGAAAGTCATGAAACCTTTGATCTCTTGCTCAACAATTTCTTTGGTAATTGTTGATTCAGCTGGACCGTACACTTCAGGGTCTAGTTTACTCATCAACGGCCACTCCTGCATATTAGATCAGAAATTATTACTTATCTTACAAGGCTTGAATGTAACTAACAAAACAGTTCCTCTTTCAAATTATTAAATGGATTTAATATTCTTCGATTAGAAGAACTAGGAGAACACACCTTGACCAACTGTATGCCATATGGATTGAGACCAACGAGTGTTTGTCGACAAAATTCCTCGTCTCTAAACCAATTGAAGGAATCCCCTGTAATTATAACCGTCAACAAACCACATAAACAACAAATCAAACACACATGAACACAGAGTTGGTTCAGACTTCTTGCTTACTGTCCATGCTTCGAGGAGTCTTAAATTGCAACACAGTTTTGGTACTACTGGTAACATCTTTGAGAATCCTTGGTAAAGCACTTAAAAGTCCATTTTCTAAGGGAGGGATATCAAAACCTTTATCATAAAGTAAATCAATATCCCTGAATGACGAAAATCCCTTGTTCTTATCTGTCAATACCGAGTCTAGCGTTGGTAAAATTGCATGCAGTACGGAGTACAAGGTCCTCGCGCCAAATGTTGCCCCCTTTATCTCTGAAAAATCTTCGTCTCTCGGCACGTAAAATGGTAGCGTTGTCCTTGACTCCGACCAGGGTTCTGCAATTCCATGAAATATCTTCGATTTTATTCATTGCTTATGCCTATCCCAAAACCCCTATATTCAAGACATTCGTATATGCAGAATTATGGCTCCTAATTCTGTCACAAATATAAATGAATAAACGGATTTCCACCTCAAACTTAATTAGATTCACCTATTTTGTGCTAACTTTGACGATCTAAAAGCGTTGCTAATCGTTATAATAGGAACTTTAGAAAATATAAGAGTACTAACAATTTTGAACATGTAATAGAAATTACCTGTAGAGGTCATTTCGCGACCAGTTCGCAAACGCCTAGGGTAAGGATGATTCTCCCCGCCGAGCACCGGTCGGGCCAGATCGGAGTTAATATCGGGATCACCGAGATCATTATATCTTTCGTAATCGTAAATCCTTTCAAATGATTTGCGTTGTCCTTCACCGTTGCCTCGAAGAGACTCTAGATCTTTCTCTCTTAGAGACTTCAACGCCTCCGGCGTTTCTGATGGTAGATACGACTGGCCCACTCAAAAGGCACATACTAATTAGTATTTATTAGTGATTAAGCGGTGGCCGGCGACGCCACGTCACCACCACAATCACACCAAGGCAAGTTGGCAACGCCCTGTCCGAGATGCCATGTGGATTTCAAAATAAAATCACCTTTTGTCACTTAAGTTTTTTTATTAGTAAATTTAGCCCTTCTCAATTTTTAAATAACAATTTAGTCCCTCAATCAAATGTTTCTAAATTAACATAATTTTTTTATAGTTTTTACCTAGTTTGTAATATTTTTTATGGGTGCGTTTGGTGTGCAGACTAAGTGAGATGAGATGGAAAAAAATAAATAGTCTAATATGTTGGCACGTCATTGGATAAACCAATTATAATTAGTACGTAAAATCTTATATTATATATTAACCAACTATACTTGATACCAACTTTTTTGATTGATACATGTTGGTATTGGTTTTGTACCAACTTTTTAGTTACATATATAAAAACTCGTCATTTTTGTTCACATTTTGATTTTCCAGGTAACACAATTAATGTTAAAAAAATAATTGTGAGACATAAAACTATGCAAATATTTAAATATTCAAACAAGATAGTTAATACAACGTTTAATATTCAAAGAATAAAAAAATTCACAAATTAATAATAATTAATTAAGTCGATACCATGGTTCTACTATTATGTGATTTTTAATACCATGTATCAACCAAGTTTACATAATTGGTACAATACTACCAACCGATTGTAATTGGTATCAATTTATATGGTAAGATTGGTACACATGTTGGATGGTTCGGATTGGTACAAAATTGTCACTACTAATATTCTTTTATGTAAAATTGTACTAAAAGGTAATAATTTAAGTTTATTTTTTAATTTAATTACTGAATTTTAAAATTCACTAAAAAGATATATTAAAAAAGAGAGGACCTTATTAGTGAAGAATATTCTTTTACTGGAATTATCGTGTTTTGAGTGGATCCAAGATTCACAAGTAAATGTGACGTGGCCATCATCAAGAGCAATGTTCTTGATGTATGTTTCTTTATGATGCTCGTTCTGTACCAACACTGCCCCTATTTCTCCAAAATCCTCAAAAACCTCGAAATCACATTTGTATTGGTACAACTTAGTCCAATCGTCCGATCCACTATAACTTGCATACGCCGTCACCGTCTCCTTCTTTTTACCCGACGCTTCATAACCATATGAAAACAAATAGTTTAATAAGAAAAAAAGGTTTGATCGATATTTATCTCGTGATATGAAGAAATCAATACTTACAGTCAAGATTTGCAGCAACAAGTTCTAGAAAGAATGATGGTGCTAAAAAATCATAGATACCATGAACCAACGTTCCTACAAGACCCACGGTTATGTCAGCTAACGCTCCGCTAACGGTTGGTTGAACATTGATGACACCTTTCACCTTTTTGGATTTGCCAGCAAAAGACGAGAAAATGGTCTTAACGTTACTAGAAGTACTTTGCATTCGAGTGCAATAACGTTTATTTGATGACATTGAGGCACAACCGGTGACGAGCTACGCCAAATGGTGCTAGATTGATGAAATGTAAGTGGTGAATTTGAGACCTCAATATTTTTATATGTCTTCCGACTTTTTACAGGCCTACGATTTTGAAACGAGGCAATTTTATTTATGGGGAAGTTTTGATGACGATAATCGTTGCATGTGATATATGAAGGTCGTTTCTAACTTCTATAAAGAAAGTAAACGACTCGTGTTCAAATAGATAATATGTAATCTATTTGGAAGATCGTTCAGTATTTGCTTGAAGACAAAGTAGAAAGTTATGAGAATTATATGAAAAAGTATCAACAAAGACATGAGCATCTCCCGTAGCTATTTTATTAAAATAGAATTTGAAAGTCAAAATCTCTATAAAATAATTAGATTCAATTCTAACGGTTACTTTATTTTAGTAATTATAATATTAATTAAATTATTAAAATCTATCAACATTTAATAAAATATTATATTTCTTTCTTAAACATTTATTTTCAATATCTCTTATTGGTTTGAAGTATTAAAATAATAATTTCTCTCTCTAGTTAGAGAAATCTCCAAATTTAGAGATTTTACAATTTCTCACCTTTTTTCTATTTTATCATACAAGATGACATAGTTGTTATAGCAATTTTTTTTGTTAAAACCTATATTTTCTCCATTTTAGTATAGCTATTGAAGATGCTCTAATTAATGACATGAAAATTCATGCGATGATTGTTGATAGTTTACAACTCAATTTAATATACATACATTAATGACATGTGTATATAAGGTTGAGTTTCAGCGAAAATTGAAGTTATTGTGAGAAAAGTAATAAAGGATGTCAACCTTTGGATCAATCATAATCGAATAGAACCAATAGGTCAACGTTAATTAGATATATCAGATCAATCTTTTTTTTCTAAAAGTGCAATTCATGGGTTGTTTTGGGATTAAAAATGATCAATGGTTCAAATCTCTTCTTACGCTTCCCAGCTTAACTTGTATTCTCACACGATCATTCATTTCGTCTATGTGTGTGTGTATATATATATATATATATATATCATATATATATATATATATATATAACCAAATAGCTTTTGACCTAGCGGTATATGAGTCTTTGACCTTCTAGTAGGTCAGAGGTTCAAACCTCACAAAATGTGAGGAGAGCGTGTGAGTCTATTTGTTCTATTTGTCGTATATAAATATTATATACTTCAATATATATATATATAATTATAAAAATATAGAGAGATTTTTTTAAGAACCCATGAAATTATGATAACTTTATAAACTAATGCATAATGTGTTATTTCATATGATTTTTTCATCTAAGACTATAATTTAAAATATTGATTAACATATATTTGTTTTACAATGTGTATATTTCACATGTATTTATTTCACGCTGTGAACTTTTTTAACCTGTTTATGAAACAAAAGTTCTACGTAAAAAAGTTTCAAATTATGAACCATATATTTACATATATGTGTATATATATGAAGCAAAATCACTATGAAACAAATATATGTCTATCGATACGTTAAATATTAGTTGTCTAACCCTAAACAATTAATTCGTAGACGTAAAGTTTGTTGAGAATTTGACCCTTACACCATTTCATTAAATCAGATATCAATTATTACTCAATATTTCGAGACGTAAAATTAGTTAAAAATTGACCCAACATTATTTCATTAAATTAGACTGCCTAAATCAAATCAAATCAAATCAAATTCATTTTTAATGTACAATTTATACTATTTTTATATGCTTTAAATAAATATTCTCTCTCCGGCCACCGTCCTCCGGTGATACCACAATGATATCAGAATGCATCATATATATGTTTGGGTATTACATTGAGGTCATTTGTATGGTCGATCGGAGATGTAACACAGTGGTATCACAACGCATCTTATATATGCTTGGGTATCATACTGTATCTTTTGTTTAACAGAGTCAATATTTTTAGGTATCACAGTGGTATCACCGGAGGACGGTGGCCGGAGGACAGAGAGAGAAGAGAAAATACTTAAAATCTCCTTGCATTAAAATTTTAATTCAAAATAACCAAAATCAATAGATAAATTTTCTAATTTATCTATTGATTTGTGGTTGAGATTAGATCTCACGGTTACCACAAACTACTCAGTTCTTTCTTGAATGGATCCCTATATATATTATGTTATAAAACATTTGATAAATATTGTCTTTTTCTTTTACTTCAACCATTAAGCTTTGTTTAGAACCATTAAAAACAGAATTTTTTTTGGCCAAACAAGATTCAACTTTTATTAAGAATAAATAATTGGAATATGTGAATATTGTAACATCATAAAATTTGAAACACCTTAAGATCATATACTAACATCGATGTGGAAATTACATTAAATGGGTATCGATCAAATCTTGAATTTCAATAAAACATAAATATATCAATTTGAGAGCGGTTGTTTTATATGCATTTGAACAATAAGTCATACGCTCTTAATACACACAGAGTCAATTAGTTGGTTTCGTGTTTAGTGTCTTTGTCCTAACATTAATGATTTACTTGTTCATACCAAATTTGAAGCCTATAATTTCAATTAGTTTGTTAATTGATAGTTACGTTTCTTAAATTAGTTCCATATTGAAATTCTACAAGAGTTAGCGTTGGATAACGACCAACGCGAAATAATTAACATGTCAAAACTGTAATATCATTTCATGGAATCCAAGTCAGTACTAATGGGTATTTAGCCCAATAGTATCTGGTAGGGATGTTCGTGGGTTGGGTTGATCGGGTTGAAAACATTTGAACAACCAATCCAATGCTTGTTGTTTGAAAAATCTTAACTCAACACAACTCAAACCAAAGTGTAATCCAACCCAACCCAAACCGTACGGGTTGGTCGGGTTGATACTTTGATACATTAAAATATTATTCTAACATTGAATATGTTATTTCTCTACTCATAATTTACTTTGCATCAACAACTATTTGATACAACTTATCCATACTTCTTAATTCTTACGTATACAATTAATTTTCTTAATTTACATATATATGATCATAATTACTGAACATATATGTGAATGAGTTATATAGAGATGGATAATAGATTGAAAATATGTGTATATGAAGAGGTATGCGATAGTATAATTGTCTAATGTATATATTAATAGAAACTCAACAATTATATTAAATCCAAGAAATACAAGGATATCGGATTCATCGGGCTGGGTTGGATTCAAATAATAGTAACCCAATACCTATGGTTTGAAAATGTTACAACTCGATTAGACATCGGGTTATTTCAGGTTGAATTATTTCACGTTGGATTGGGTTGGGTTGATCGGTTTGGTAGGGTTTTTGAGCACCCTTAGTATCTGGCTTGCCCACAAGACCCTTATTCTTGAAGGTCAACGGTTCAAATCTTATCAAATGTAAAATGTATGTATAAAAATTTAACGTATATTATATACTTCAAAAAGAATAGGGTTATGAAATCTTTGTTATTCAAAATTTTGAAATACCGGTTAAGCTCATAAGTTCCACAAGTCCGGGACTTTTACCGTCGGACTAAGTCGTGAGTATTCCGTCGAAAATGTTGAAAACCATTGGTGAACCGTCGGTAAATGTCCGTCTAACAAACTTTCATGGGTGATGCCTTCAGCGACGAATATCACTGACGGATCACCGACAGGGCATTATCAACGACGGTATCTATCACCGACGGGTGCAAAGTTATCACAGAGAATTATTTAAGTTTGCTTCATTTTAATTTGCATGGATGATTGTTAAATTGTAAAATTAGGATGTCATGTATGATCGACACAAATGAATTTATCCCACAATAATAAACCATAGATTATTTTATTACAACAGATAAAAGCATGATCAAAACACCGGAGCAAGGATGTCGAAAAGCCTTATTAGCTCCACAAAGATGGCAGAAATCAAACAGACAGTAAACAGGTAGATGGTGATGGTGTACTAGATAGAAATGCTGTTTGGAACACCCTTTCCAGTGACACCAGATCCAGAATAAGGCTTCAGAAGCGTGTATGGAACCAACCCGGCACCATTTCGGTTCCTCAACTCGGGGTTAGCGTTCCTCGAGTCTATGATACCTTCCAACTCCTTAAACCTCCCATTAAACACATCGAATGCCGCCTTAATAGCAGGCTCCGCGGCCCATGACGCCTCTGCATTTCCACCGATGTACTCTTCATCTAGAGAATGACTCGATAAGATGTTCAAAACCGACATAACTTTGGTTGCTTGACTTTTGGAAGGGAAGCAATTTAGAAGTGCATCTTCGGGCCTTTTTATGAAGGCGTCCCACTCTTCTGGAGTCGGGTCTTCGTTCGGCATTTTAGTTCTTGCAGTAGATGGTCGATTGGGGAAATAACCAGCATAATCATACTGACCGAAATTAACAGCTGAATGATGACCAGAAGGTACCCACATGATAGTTGACACAATTTGAATCAAGTCGTCTTGGGTTTTGAGTTGTGGCCACCATGGTTCGTCTTTTTTGTCTCCATGGCCAACGGTTCGAATATCGGTCCACCATGCTTGAAGCTCTTCATCAGATTCTATAAGATTAGCTTGTGGATAGTAATGGTTGACATAAGAAGTAGCAAATTCTTTGATGGCGTCCCAAATGAGTAAACCATCGTTTGCAAATGGATAGTCTTCAATTGCCAGCTTTAGACCATGTGGTGCAGTTGGATCTTCAACAGCCATGCCCCTATAAATATAACATAATCAAACGTCATTACAACAAATTAGGGATTATACGAGATGCCATAAAGATATAAGAGCAGGCTGCTTTACAGGATTTTAGTTTACCTGCTAATTAGGTTAGCTGGAAGTGCCTCTTGATCAAAGCGCCATTGTTGATCATAAGCTTCAGAGGAAAGTTCCACATTATATTTACCAGGACCAAATGTAGATTCGATAACGCCTTCTGCGTTAATGAGCAATAATCGAGCCAAAGCATTGATCTGCATCGTGAAGCGAAAATAAGGGGTTAACAGTCTCTTGATTGGGTGCATTTGGCTAAGATGCCTGTTGGTCGCTATGATGTATGGCTCGGTAGCACAGTGAGTTCTTAGCCTGCAATTAATATCGAAAAACACCTTAATTAGTTCTACCTACTGTAGTCATATGTTCAGTTTCCCGTTCGGAAAAAGCCTAGAACTCACCAATGGCTGACGAGCTGATGATAGAAAGAATCATGAGACACGACCTGAGCCTTGGCTAGCTTCCAAAGCCAGTCACCGGTGGCTTCCCAAGTGGGTGTGTAGACATGCTTCCACTGTGGTTTCCCATCATCCGTTGGAGGGCGAGTCAACTCGATGGCCAGCGGTCGCAGTGTTCCGGCAGGAGTAAGGAACATTAAAGTCCTTGAACCATAGAGAGTGGTGTTGTTAAGCGCTCTAACTTTATTTACATATGGCAACAACAGATCATTGTAATCCAACAAGAACAGTTTCTTTTGCTCCAATGCCTGCAAATACGATAAGCTCAAATAAGACATCAAGATTTCACAAGTCATTTAACTTTGATTAATTACCTCCTCAAAACTCATGAGACCTCCTATTTGTTCCTCAACAATCTCCTTGGTGATCGCTGATTCTGCTGGTCCATAAACTTCAGGGTCCAGTTTGCTCGTCAATGGCCATTCCTATATACCATACAGACTTAACTAAGTTAGCTGTATATAGAGAGGGAGGGGAAAGTTCCTTTAAGAACCCAAAATTGATTAGGAACCCCGAAAATGCATACAACACGCAACGTGTCCCTATTTATGATGAATATTCATTACGAATCACACATTTATAATGAATATAGAGGTGTTATTCAACATGAATCGCACATTCATGATGAATATGTCACAATATTCATGATGAATTACACAACCATATGGGATGATTTCCGGTTCATATCAAGTTTATGTGATATAAACCGCTATATATATATAGAATGCTATGAAGTTGCTAAGAACCTACCGTGACTAATTCAATTCTATAGGGATTGATACCAGCAAGCATTTCTCGGCAAAATTCCTCATCGCGAGCCCAAGAAAACGTGTCCCCTAAGATCAATGATCATAGCCATTAAACATACATACGATGGAATTGAACATAGACATACAGGCAATTAAGTAAGAAATGGTTTTGATGCTTACTCTCCATGGTTTCTGGGGTCTCAAACTTGATGATGGTATCCGCAGCAGAAGAAACATCGTGGATGAGATTTGGTAAAAAGCTTAGAAGTCCGTTGTCTGAGTTTGGAACATTAATACCTTCATTGAAAAGCAAGTTTATATCTGTGAATAATGAAAATCCCTTGTTTGGGCCTGTCAACACCGAGTCTAGGATGGGTACAACTGCATGCAGCACGGTGTACAACGCCCTCGCTCCGAAGCTTATGTCTTTGATCTCCGAAAAATCTTCATCTCTCGGCACATAAAAAGGGAGCACCGTTCTTGATTCCGATAACGGATCTGTAATTCAGTTAAATAAACTTCACTCGTATCCGTTACAACAAAATCGGCTTTACATAATGCTCATCATTTGCTCACAAATTAATAGATATAATTTCATGAACTTACTTGAACCATTATATATATAAATTACCTGTCATCACGTTCATAATCATCCTACCAACAACTTACTGTAACGCTTTTATTTAATATATATAATTATTTGGTTTTATAAATGGTGTCTTAAAGAATAATAGCACCTTCAATTCTCTCCCATTTTCTATGTCACTGTAAATTGTTGTTCATAGTGTGAAACAGTCTTGGTTTTAAATTGTACCTTTAGTAGTCATCTTTCGACCGGTACGACAACGCCTAGGATAAGGATGCTCTGAACCACCTAGCACCGGCCGAGCTAAATCCGCGCTACTGTCTGGAGATCCAAGATCATTGTATACATCGTAATCATAAATACGCTCAGAAAGTTTTCGCTCTCCTTTCCCGTCGCCTCTTAGAGATTCCAAATCTTTCGTTCGTAGAGGCTTTAGACCGTTTGGCGTATCCGAAGGAAGGTATGACTACAAAAACAAATGCAGATTTAATATCTGTAGTATCATCATCTCTGGGAATTAATTTCTGATCGAATAATCAATATCCATATACATATATAGCGATGATCAAACTAATTTGCAAGAATGCGAGAAAGAATACGGATCATATAATTCATTAATAAAAAAAATCATGAATAAAATGGAAAATAATTTTAGAATTTAGGATAATTTTCATTTTGGATTAGATAAATCCTTGAAAATCTAATTATATTTTTTAGATTTTTTATTTTTTTATTTTTAGTTAATATATGATTTCTTTTATCAAGTTTGATATACTATATTATAAAGCATTTGACAAAAAAAACTCTTAAAAATCATTTTGTATGCATCAAATATTGTTTATTGAATTATATTACTTAAAATTCAAAATTAAAAGTAATTATGCATAAATACAACTTGATAGTATAGGTTGAGGATGATTAGTAACCTTGTCGGTGAAGAAGATTCTCTTATCAGATGAAGAAGCAACCCAAGAATCACAAGTGAAGGTGATGTTGTTATCAAGAGCTATGGTCTTGAAGAAGACCCCGATGCTCAATTTGTTTTCGACCACCACAGCTCCGATATTTCCAAAATCATCGGGAACTTTGAAATCGCAGTTGTAAACGTGTAAACCCGCAGAACCCACAGAACTGAATAAACCGTAACTAGCATTCCCTGACACAGTTTTCTGATTTCCATTTGCTGCATCCATCAAACAATATTCGAAGTTTAAATATCTTCGATCGAATAGTTTACGCATGCATTCGTGTTTTCTATGTATCATAATCTACGATTAGTGACATCAAGAAAAACAAAGGAAAAGGTAATAAGTTTCAGTATCATATATAATTATACTTCTTTTGGTGTGTTTAATCATATATGATTAAGCGTGTATGTGTTATCAATGCAACATTTGTTTAGTCATATATAATTAAGTTTGTATATCATGCGTGTATACATATAATATTGGAACTTTTCACCTTCTTGCAAAATGTTTAACTTCTCATTTGAACTTGCCCATATATATATATATATATATATATATATATATGGTATATTTCAAATGCAACCATGTCCATTTGTACAATCAATGCAACCCAATTAATTGAGATATTTATAGAAATAATGGGAGTTCATTTATTATGATTTAAATATTTATGGAAAATGACTAGAGTTCATTAATTATGATTAATACTTTATATTAGAAAACAATCAAAACTTTTATAAAATCACATATTTATCAAATTAAATGGATGGTTAAGATTGAGTTGTATTGGTTTTACAAATATAAAGGGTTGTATAATAACTATATATATATATATATATATATATACACACACACACATGCACGTACCATCAAGGTCTGTAGATACGAGCTCAAGAACGAACGCCCTCCCAATAGCCTGGTAGAAAATGCTGCCGATGACATCCAGATTAATGCTGCCGATGGCGGCGGTAATGGTTGGTTGGATGGTGATGACAGCTTTAACGGTGGTGGTTTTGGTACTGGAAATGAAGCTGGGAATCGATATTGCATTGATGTTACCAGGAATGTAGCGAGTGAGTGCGGTGTTGGATTTCTTGGTGTGGTTTGGTAGGCGGAAGGCGGTGGGAGAGTAGGCGGCGGAGGAGGAGGAGCGGTTGTCGGCGATAGCACCGCCGACGAAGGGGTTTTGGAGTGGTGGCAGGTTGTGGACAGTGTGGGACGAAGAGATTCGAGTGTTCAACATGTTTTGTTTATTTTTGTCAAACTCTTGTTTGTGTGATTGAAGTGTTGCAAACTAAGCTTGTTATTTATAGTACAATTGTGTATTACGTACCGATCCATAACAGTTGTGGACATTTGTTATTTATTTTATCTTAAAATATGAGGTCGTTTATTAAATGTTCACCTGAGTAAATGTCTTTTGGTAAAATGCAATGTTATCACTTATTTAACGGGTACAATTTTAGTCCACCAAAACGTTATCGTATGCAATAATTTACCTGGTAAGAGCTAACCGTGGTAAGAGTTGTCGCTCTTACTTACCACGTAAAACTCTCAGTCCTTACCTTTGCTCTTACCGGGTAAGACCTTTGATCCTTACAATATTTATCCGATAAGATAATGTGACTTGATAAATATTTATCCGAATAAGTGCCCTAAATATCCGCTTTAAAAAGTAAGTTTTACATTTTTCATTCTACTTTTAATTATAAGATGAAGAAAGTTTCTTTTTCTACAAATTATATCTATACTACCTTATAAACCAGATTTATCAAAAGTCTTAAAAACAATTTTTAATGCTCAAAGTACTATACATTTATGCATAAAGTCTTAAAAACAACTCATAATACATTAAGTACTACTACTTTATGCATTCAGTCTTAAAATCTCTTAATCTACAATTAAAATAACATATAGTACAAATTATCAGTGCACATTATTACCTTTCTTTTTCATGTTCCCAAGATACTTTCTCCCTCTCATACCTCTATGTCTTCTGCCTATTCCCCAAAGTGAGATTCAAATTGATATTCACCATGAGTTATAAAAAGTTCTCTCATTCAATTGTTCTAGAACTCTCGGTTTCGTTGTCGATCTCTTGATTCTTTGCTCTTGTTGTAAATTGAACACATTTTTAGAGTCGTTCAAATATGTTGGATTTTAAATATATTGGATTTTAAACTGTCATACGATTTTTTCATCGATAGATTGTAATTGGAACCATAACTCTTATTTATTCAAATTGTATTAATATGTAAAAACCAAGTATAACTTATATAATCGTTAAATCTTCTCTAATAAAACCAGTGAAACTTCAAAATCATTAAAATTCACGGCTCCTGCTGCATTGCACAGGTACACAACTAGTATTTTTTAAATCATATATTTTTTCATTGTGAACATTTAATTTGAGAAAAAAAAAATGTATTATATTAAAATATTATTGTCAAGTGCAAATATGGTCACGTTATTAATTTCTTTCACATTGATGCGTCACTTAATTACACAAACAATGTATCTTTGAAAAGTTATATCCGACAAATTTTGTCTGTAAAACACAGATGAAAATATGAATTACTCGAAGAAAATTTATTAAAATAGTCGTTTTTTAGAGTTGGTTTAATCTTCTAACCATTTTCTTTCTAAATTTACCAAAATAACTATAGATACGTAAACCATATATCCGCAATTGAGAACCCAACTAAAAGACAAGAAAGTTATATTTTCTATCATTGTCTGCAAAAAAAATTACATTTTTTACTTAGGTCTGCAAAAAAAAATTACATTCACCCAGTTCTGCAAAAAAAAAGCGAAACTAGAACTATTTTAATAAACCTTGTAAAGAAGTAACTAACAGATAAAACCAATTTTTTTAGAAATATAATTAGTAGTTAAATTAGATATTTTATTAAAATCATTTAGCATAATTTTATTTCTATCAAACAAATAACTATAACTTTAATTTTTATATAACTTATATAAACATTTTTAGAATTGTTATATTTACTTTTTGATAATTAAATATATTAAATAATAATTATAAAATAATTATATAAAAATGGTTGATATGATTAGTAATAATTAATAAATATATAAACTATAATGTTTAATTAAAATTAATTAATAATTTTCAATTAATATTACTTGCTTTTAATTAATATTATTCATTAATATTTATTTATAATTAATATTAATAATGGTTATAATTGAAAGAGTGTTAAAAAAAACTTCCATAACATTATTCAAACTAACGTCTCCATAAGCTAGCATATGTCCATCTAGACATATGTTAAAATAAGCTAGTTTATGTCAATTCAAACATGTACACACAGAGGCGGAGCTCAATAGGGCCTTTGGGGCGCCAAGGCCCCCCTACTTTTCTTCCTACTTATGTCAATTTTTCGCTCACTCAATGACTTGTAATACATACGTATAAAAGATTTGGTTCGGTCTAAGGATGTACGTTAACAATTCAAGCTTTTAATAATTTTCAAGTTTGAGTCGATCTCGAACGCTAAAAAGTAATCTCGTTTTACTTAACGAACGGAAAAACAAGTTAATTAATCTCAAGTTCGACCCAGTAGATGAGCTTATATGGTTTGAATTTTTAGCTATTATTTTTTCAAGTCAAAACTCGAACTATTTGCTATTCGATTTAGCTCGTTTCGGCCCCTGGGTTAGAAGGCTTGTGTTCCACCTCTGTGTACACAAAAATAAGATAGCTTACGTTTCTCAAACAATGCATGTAATGATATAATCTACGTTGTCTATAATTCACTGAAATGCATGTTATAAATATCTACTTCAGATTTAAGTTAAACTCTTAAAAACTATTTTTTATACATCAAGTACCATTTATCAATGTATATTACTTAAAATTCTAGATTTCAAGTTGGATAAGCATAAATACAACTTATTAAAACTCAATGTTTGAATTCATATAACTAATTGGTAGATAAACATAAATAATAGATAAACACTAAAAAGATAAAATACTTATTTTTATTTTCTAAAATATCTAAAAATTAAAAAACTTTAATGTAACTAACTGATAAATACAAGAAAATCTGAGATACAATAACTCATTTTTATTTTTTTATTAAAATATATTTAATTTTAAATATAAAATATCTTAAGATGAAATTGAAATTTTAAAATCCTCAAACAACTAACCAATAAACATAAGAAACTTCGAGCTACAATACCTCATTTTTATTAAAGTATGTATTATCTCTTTAATTTTAAATATATATACCATTTAAACTAAACAATGTTTGACCCCTAACTAAATACTTTATCATATCTATACTATCTTATAAAGTATTTGGCTAAAACTCTTAAAAACTCTTAAAACTCTTAAACTCGTTCATCCCTAAACGATTTCATCCCTATCCAATTTCATCACATATCTGAATTCGTGTAACTAACTGCAGATAAACACAATCAAATACATGATAAACATCTCATTTTAAATATAAAAAATCTAAAATATAATTAGTATAATCATTAAATTCTAACAGAATACTTAATTATTATCTTTAAAAAATTTATAATATTAAACCAAAAATAAATTGTTTTATTATTAAACTTAAATTAAATTATATATAAAGAAAATATATATTCTATATTATAAATCACTTGACAAAAACTTTTAAAAACCACTTTTTAKGCATAAAGTACTGTTTATTAATGCATATTACTTGCAACTCAAGATTACAAGTAAATTGTACGTAGGTACAACTTATTAAAGCTCTATATCTGAATTCGTGTAACTAACTATAGATAAACACAATCAAATACATGATAAACATCTCATTTTAAATATAAAAAATCTAGAATATAATTAGGATAATCATTGAGTTCTAACAGAATACTTAATTATTATCTTTATAAAATGTTATATTATTAAACCAAAAATAAATTATTTCATTATT